TCCAAACTTAAATTGTTGTAATTTATGAACACTTTGGAATACAGACATAAGGTTGGCCTCTTTGTAAAGAAGAAAATCAGCAAATTATCGCAAAAGTGGAAGTATCAAAAAGTTATAGTAGTTTAAATTTACTGTAAAAAAAAAAAAGCACTATATTAATTTATTTGATATATAATAAATATTTTACATATCAGGTTTTACTCTAAAATTGGTATAAAATTATAGCCTTATGTCTAAATAAGTTATGTTCCAAATTTGAAGTTGATATGAAAAAAATTGAGGTTCCTGTGAGATTTTATTTAGGGCGTTATACCCCAAACAGCCACCGGGTGCCATCCAAACTCCATTGAATTTGTAAAATGCATTTTTCTGTCACAAATGTCTAGATTTCTCTGTCAATATTACGTCTATCTCAAAATAATCCTGAGACGCAGACCTTTCCAATTATATGTTTTTTGTCAAGATTATAAAAAGTTTTGATTCTAAGACCGTAATTCATTTTGTAATATGACACTTGACACTGCCCACTAAGGGGGAGGAGACTGCCAAAAGATTTTAAAGTACCATTTCCATGGTAACGCAATGTCTGATTTCGAAATGGTTTTCACAGGATGAATCTTGGGCTTCTAAGCTTTCAAATTATTTATGATGATTACTAAAAGATTTGATAGAGAAAAAAGACAACAACAAAAAAAGAGCGCCAAACGTCCCACAGGTGGGACGGTGACAGTTAACCCTTTAACAGTCACACTAAGAAGTACATTTGCAAAAAATTATTTATTGCTAAAATTATGTTCCTGACACTACATTGAGCAACTTTTCCGTTTTTTTTTGTCAGATGACCCCTTCACTTAGCGGATACACAAGTCAACCAGCTGGTTGACTTGCCCAGTTAGGGTAATTCTCGGCATGTACTCATTTGTGCACCTAAAGTTGACGTTTTTTTCATATAAAAACATTACAGACAGTAGAATGTTAACAACATCCATTAATTTATTTAAAAAAACATGTTTTTATTATAACAAACAATAAATACATTGTTATAACCGCTTCCACTCTTCTTGGAAGGCTAAGTCCCTGTTGGTGTAATGGTCAGTTGTCCCAATGCTTTTGTCAATACATTCAACACAACTTTGGCACCTAGGGAGAGGTCTTCCAAGTCCAGATGTGCATGCTCTTCCTTTTGAATGTTGAAGAATGTTGTGGCCCCTTGGTAAAGGATGAAGTCGTGGATTATGCCAATGGAGCTGGCCCGACAGAAGATCTTAAATCTCCACTTATCCGGCTTGTTTTTAATATACTGCCGGAGTTTGCCAGCTCTGGTGCCCTTGTAAGCCACCATCACTTCATCAACACTCTGCCTGTTGGTGGGGGGAATGAGAAGGCATTGTTCTCTGAGCATGTCTAAAAGAGGGCGAATCTTATGGAAGCGGTCAGTGCAGCCTTCCATCTGGAAGTTGTCATTGAAGTGGACATGTCTTCGTAGCACTTGAAGCTGGCTGCATGCCAGTTTATGATCGCATTGCTGAACTAGAGTCAATTCATTTGACCCTAACTGGGCAACTCGACCGAGCGGTCAAGCACATTTTCTGAGGTAACACAGAGATTAATTTTATCACCATGCTTCTGCCATTCAACAAAATATAGTGTTAGGAGGTCTAGAACATGAAATCAGATGTATAAAAATCTTACCTCAACTTTCAGCGTCACTAGCGGCAAGGGTTTGAAGAGAGCGCCACAGCAATACACTTCCGGTTTTGTTTCGGCTCCTCAGCATCAAATATATCCTTGCAGCATAGCCACCCAGTGGATACAATTGAAATTACACCCTCTATTCAATGAGGGGTATAAAGACAAACAGCCAAAACTGCAGTTTGGCGAGTTTTAATTACAGAAATGTGATCGCGAAAAAAGGTCAACCGTGCGGTTACAATGCACGTTAAAGGGTTTTAAGGGGTTAAATTAAAAATGCACATAAAACTTACTAAAACTGTCTATCTATCTATACAGACACACACACACGCCAACAACAAAATACTCTTAAATCAAAAGCTTGATATTTGTAATTAAATCTTTATTGTTTTTCTCAAAAGAAGTGTCCATAGTGAAAAAAATATCTGCCCCCATTTTTCTAATAAACAAACTTTTGATTATTATGGCACCTAATGGTGAAGTCAAACCTGTTAACATCTGTTCAAAGTGTCATTACAGCAGGGCCCAAAATATCATTTCCAAAAGCAAACCAATAAAACAAACAACAAAATGTTATAAATGATGATGAATCTAACAGCCTTACAAACGCTTATGCCTTCATAAAATCTGTATAAAAAACAAAAACTAAATCTAATGTAGAAACAATTTAATCATTATTAGTAGCGTAGCAAAAGCGTATGAATTATTATAATCAAGTGGATAACACAAATATGGTTTGACACTAAATAAAAACACGTTGGCATAAATGTCTACAAATGAAAATGTAAAGTAAATCAAGCAAAAAGGAATGAAATTCTGAACGACAAAAAACAACTTTAAGACTGAAGTGCTTTGGGCTTCCTGCTGGACCAGCTGATATAGCTCTGATATTGATAGGAAACACATTAGATGTGCGTTTTTAAATGCTGAACACACAAACATGATCCTAAATCTATGGAAGATTTAAAATGATCCTTTGAGTAAAAACAATAAGCCAGCAAAAGAAAGAAAAAAACACTGATCAATTTCTAACAGGCTGATCAATGAGTGTAAGTGTTGACATATACAGTTCCTATCATTTCCACTGGCCAGTTTACAACATCCAGCCAGTTTCAGTCATTTTTATTTCAACAGTCCCTAATAACTGTATTACAACCTCTTGTACTGCAAAATACAATGTCATCGTGGTGTTTAAAAGTGTATATACCAGTATTCTGGACAAACTAGGTCCCTATTTCTCTCTGAAAACCCAGTCTAATTAGTATAAACGGCTTGACTGGTCACACAAGTGGCCTGATGGGAAGTTTCTTACTGTGCGAGTGTATGAACGAGCGGCGAGTGCCCTCTAGTGTAAACCACTGACATCACTGCTGACGAGTAACAAGGTTTGGTTGCATACAGACACCCAGCCACCACATGTGTTCACATCCCCCAAACAATAAAGAAAATAAAGGTGAAGATTACACAGAAAATATACAG